GTTTCATGCATATGAATACTCACTAAGAACAGATCTGGCGTGGGCACGAGCGAGAAAGTGTCAGAAGTCCTAGGTCAAACAAAATCAAAGAGACGTTCTAGGCCAAGAGCATCAAAGCGACACATGACACTCTCAACACCATAGCGGGAGGATTCTTTGAGGTGTAAAAACTAGCTTTGCCCACAAAAGGTATGCTTTCCAAATCCTAAATATAGAAAATCTCCCCAAAATAGAGATCATGGATACACCAGAGGTTGTGATTACCTTTTTGGAGAAAGATGTATCTGACATCCATCCTCATAATGATGACCTCTAGGTCATCTAACTCAAATGCGAGAAATGGGAGATTAAAAAGGTTTTGGTGGATCAGGGATGCTCCAGTGACATACTGTATTAGGATGCCTTTGAGAGACTGTGTCTTGACCTCGAACACATTAAGCCTTTCAAAGGATCACTGGTCGGATTTTCAAGAAAACATGTGTAAATGAAATGGTACCTGACCCTGAGACCCACGTTGGAGAGAAAAACCAAGCCAAAGAAATAAAGGTTTATAAGTATCTAGTCATTGACACCCTTTCTTTCTTATAATATGATTATTGGGTGACTAATCTTTAACTGACTCAGAGCTGTTTTATCTACTTTGTATTTGTGCATGAAATACCAACTCCCAAATGGGAGAGTAGGGGTTATCCTACGAGATCAAGAGACCTCTAGGAAATGTTACGCCAAAAGCCTTAAGTTAAACAAGGGTGCACTCTCCGGATGTGAGAGAAAACCACCTTCTCACATCCTCAAAGTGATAAATGGAGGCCACCACGACGTCATCCTTAAGCTGCAAGACCCACTCCTATGTGCTTTTAAGAACACCTCGAGCTTCCTCGAGTTCTTTCTTCAAGCTCTCCACCTCTTTAGGATGAACAAATTTCCGAGTGGCCACTCCTTCAACAAGCGTTTTAAAATCATCCCTCTTCACCTTTGTTTACTTTAACACCGTCCCACCTCCGCGAGTGCGTTTTTTCCAGGTTGATTGCTCTTGAGTGTATCATCCATAAAGTATCATATCATTTATCTCTTAGCGCTTTTCCTACCAAGAAATGCCTCATAAGCTAGATCTCTAGTAAAGTAGACAGTTGAGTGTAGAACATAGCATAAATCAATCGCTAATAACTTAGGATGTTCTCAAGGAAGGAGAAAAAATGGTTAACAAAATCCATTGTGTTAAAGGCTTGGTTATGCTACAAAGAGGGTTTAGAAAGAGATGGAACACCCACTAACCGCTCTGGTTTAAGCCCCTCGTCACAGTTTCCTGATGGCCCAGAAAAACTCTTCCCTCATAGGAATCTTAGGAGGGTGAATCTCGGCCTCCTACAAATTTTCACCTTGTGCCATCCCCCGGATGTTGGTAGTGTCTCGGACAAAAGAGAGCATCGCCTGCTATTGAGTTGTATGTATCTTCACTAGACGCTCCCTTTTTTCATCAAGATGAACCACCATCATCTCGCTTGCAGATAAAAAACAACATCAAAATATGTCAACACAACATGATAAGATTAAGAAAGTGTTTATCCATACCTAAGTATTCATCCACTTCGTTGTCGTGTTCACAATCAGAGTTGATAAGGGTACTAAGCTCTAAGGGGAGAAATTACTGCAGGACCTAAATCACTTCCCATTCAATAGGAGGAAGGGACACAGGGGTCCAACCTCGCCATGGATTTGGGATCAGGAGTCCAAGATAGTGGAAGAAGGGGATCGCGTCCCGCGATAACATGAGAAGTATTGTCCTGTCCTCTCATTCGCACAAACTTGTCCTTCCGATCCCCGTAAGGAATATTGAAAAGGGATTTAGCAAACACTCCCTAGGAAAAGGGCGCAACGTTACCCAACCATTACTGGGAATAAACTCCATCATAAAAAATTAAAAAAAAAACACTCTGATAGAAAGGGACGCCTCTAAGTTGCAGTGGATCATTTGAAAAGCCTTAAGCATACCTCATACATTTGGAGTAACTTGTGAGGGAATCACATTAACAGTAGTCAAACAATTTATTTCGAAATAAGAAAAAGGGACCAAGACCCTTAAATAGTAGATAACATGAAGATGAATATAGAAAGAAAGAGGAGACGGATCACCAGAGGTATCTACGTTTGCCCTCTCATCCTTCGAGCAAGGTTCCATGATCACTTCCCTCTCTCGTATTGCGCTAGAAAATTTAATGCCATGATGAAACTTGTTAATCATGTCATCATTAGAATACAAGGAACCAATGTCCTGAACTTGGATGGGATCAGCTTTCTTCTTCATAACCATTAGAAACAGGAATTCAAGTGAACAAAAATCTAACTCATAAACCCTAAACCCTAATACAAACCAAATCCTTAAAAAAATTAAGATTTTATCAAAGTCAAAATGATTATAATTAAATTTTTGTATAAATATATAATTATATTTTTGACGTGTCATTTTTAATTATTATAATTGTTTTTTTAAAATTTTGGTCGAGTTTTAAATTAGAATTGGGCCTCCTGTTTTAAATTAGACAGGATCTGTGAGACACACCTAGAGACATATATAACATGGGGACCAAGGCAGATGGAGTCTCCACTGACTGTTAGAAGACTGGTGGTCGGTAAATTTTCCTATTTAGAAGGGAGTGGTTAACACCACGAAAGGGATAAGAACCCTAGGACCAAAGGGCCTTTATAAATACCTCTCCCTCAAGGAGAGGGGGATAAACTCTAAGTCGTACAGACTTTCCATAACTCAAAGGGCATTACGCTCATTACAGTCTTAGTACTTACGAGTGACCTAACCGCCCACCTGCAACTAAGCATCTCCAGCCATCAATAGGGTCTCTCACCTCATGTGGCCTAGTCTCTTAAACTACCTCAAAACACCGTCGTACAAGACTTCTTTTCGTCGTAAGCAAGCCCTCACCACCAAAACATGTTATACACCTACTTAGAACTCTGAGTCTCTCTGCCCTTGTAGGGGAAGACACGCACCTATACTTCTTTTACCATTGCATACATATTCTTCACACATTTCACTAGGGATATGAATTTCAGGCGATCCTAAAACCATATTTTCTTCTTTAGATGACTAATATCTCTAAAATTGAGATGACCAAGCTTATAGTTTCATATCCATTCATCCTTGATAGTTGTAGTTTTTAAGAACTTATGCACTAATGCATCAAGTTCAATGTTGAAGGTGTTATTGTGTGACATAGGTTCCTTCAAGATCAATATTCCATTTGAGTCATGAACTTTCATCATATTGTCTTCTATAAATACTTTACAGTTCTTCCTAATCGAGTGGATAATGTTGAGTATGTTACTCTTCATACTTAGAATATATAACACATTTGAGATAAATGATTTTTTCCCATATTTTCATAACCAAGACATATCCAATGCCTTATGTTGCCAATGTGTTATCATTTGCAAACTTAGCGTTATTCTTCATAGATTGATTAATATTGACAAATCATTCCTTCTTACCAGTCATATGAGAAGAACACCCTAAATCCAAACACCATTGATCTCTATATCATTCTTCTTATTTTTTCGTTACCATCAACAACATATCCTCATCTTTTTACTTTATCAGATTTACATCATCTTCTTGATCTTTTTTGCTCTCATAGCATTCACCAGCAAAGTAACAATATTTTTAAAAACTGTAACATTGAATGTTACTCTTGTCAAACTTATTTCTTCCTCCTCTACCCCTATGGTCACCTTGATTATTACTTGAGGAGCTAGCTTCTTACTGATAGTTTCTACCATTTGAATTTTTGTGTCCCCTTCTTCCTTGGTGTCATTCCACTTTCCTCTATCCTTTTTGTCTTTATTCAATTGTGCTTGCAATGCAACCTCTGGTTTTTCTTTGCTTGCAATTCTCTCTGTCATTCTTTGTTCATGTCATTCAAGAGACCCTTGCAGTTCTTCTTTTGTCAAACTTGGCAAATCTTTAGACTCTTCTATGACCACAACGATATGATTAAATTTTCGGGACAAAGATCTCATAATCTTTGCTACTACAAACTTGGTTGATATCACTTCCCTGCACACTTTGATTGAATTCGCCAACCTTGTCACTCTTGCAAGGAAATTACTTAGGCTTTCATTTTCTTCCATCTAAAGCAACTCATACAGCCTCTTGTGAGTTTGTAATCTCGCCTCATTCACCTTTTCATCACCACCAAATGATTGTTCCAATATGTCTCACACTCCCTTTGATGAATCAACATATCCAACCTTCTCAAAATTGTTTGGATCAACCCACTGGTGAATTATAAAGAGAGCTTTACAATTATTTTTCTTCTTCAATTTTTTGTAGGCATTCTTCTGATCATCTATGGCACAATCACCAATTGGTGTAACATCATTTTTCACAAGATCCTGCACATCCTGATAGCAGAACACCGCTTTCATCTACTTACACCAATTACCGTAATTCTTTCCATTTAGAATGAGAAGATTTGTTGAAAAATGACCATTAGATGAGAATTCATTTTTTAGATCACCCAAGAACTAAACCAGAAGTTCTGGAGAGATGTTAGAACAAAACTCGAGCACGTGGAAGGAGGCACACGAGTTTTGATTCAAAACTTTGTTCACACACATAGCTTTGCATTTGGAATGAGAATGAATGGAAGAGCGGATAACTGAGGAGAGAGTAATCACACATTCACTTGTTATTCAATTATCAAAATACAAGAGTTTATATAGTTGTGACTTGCACTACAAAGCATCAACCAATTATAACTAACTACATTTCACTAACTGTCATATAACTAACTTGTTAATAATAGAATTTTAAACACAAACTAACTGTTACTTATATTCCAAGATGAAAGGTAATGATACAAAGTACTACAGAATCACTACTATTAGCAAAAATGAAAGGTAATGATAATGATGATTATTAGATAATCATGAATTTATTTATTAACATCACACTTAATACTTATATTTCTGAAAAAAGCAGTAAATCAATGGGAAACATGAGGTGTGGAATCATCAAGTGGGTGCCAAAATCTGTTAAAAAGCCAAAGGGAATCAGCCTCAACAGAATAACCATCCTGATTTCTATGCCAGCTAAAATGAGCATGTGTTCTGTTCTTTATGTCGAAAATGGCATGTCCAAAGCTAGACTCTCTGAATGCCGAGTATTCCGGCTGTGGTTCTGTCATGTTGGTTGCTAACCGTCCCACATTCCCGCCATCTCCGATGGTTATGTATACCGGAGCCGATAGATCTTTCACAGGAGTGCATATACCATTTACAACATTATATGCAATATTCGACACACGTTCCGTTCTTTCGTATGCATGCACATGTCCAGCAAACACAACATCAACCTTGTACTCAACAAACCATGGCTCATACATTACTCTCATTGTTTCCCCTTCCATGTAATGATAATTGTAGCTGTTGTACCAAGGTGCATGCATTACAACAATCAACCAAGGAGTTTCTGTTCTGTTAACTTTCAGTAGCTCCTGTTCGAACCATTGGTTCTGCGGTGTGTATTTTCCGTATGCAGAATACGAGGCCAACACAATGATATGTGCTGAAGCTCTTTTGATAGAATACCAAAAAGGGGAAGTACTCTGTGATGCTTTATAAGGAGTATAGTATCTGTTCGAATAAGGTTTGAAAGGTTCAGTTTCGCCGATTTCTGGTGCGAAATCAATTTCATGGTTTCCTACTGTCCATATCCAAGGTTGATAAGCCACGCTCCTTTCGACAAACCTTCCCCAAGTATCCCGCCTAAGATTGACATCGTACGGGAAGTTTTCTGCATAAGAGAGATCTCCGACAAACAACACTGTTTGCCCGTTTTTCGGATTCAATTCATAGTGAGAAAGTGTCTTGTTTGAATCATAACTCTGACCAAGATCACCTATGAGACCAAACGTGTATGGCACATCGAGACCGATCTCAGGAGGAGTCATAAACCAAAACTGTCTTGTTGTGTTTCCAAGTCCAACTTCGTAATAATATTTAGTGTTGTACTCCAAATTGTTTATAGTAGTGTGATGAATAAAACCAGATGAGTAATTGAATAATTTTCCACAGCATGTTGATAACTAGTATTTCTCATTTTGCTTTTGTTAAAGAATAGTTCAAATCAAGTGAAAGTACAATAGAAGAAATCCAAATCCACTCAACATTTATCGTTTTATCTAAAGATTTTTCAAGTGTATTTTAATTTACACCGTGTTTGATTCAAGTCATGTGTATATATTTCCTCGTGAAATTCAAGTGTATTTTAATTTACACCGTGTTTGATTCAAGTCATGTGTATATATTTCCTCGTGAAAAATGCTTGAAATTCAATTAAAGATATACTATAATGAATGAAAAGAATGAATGAAAAGAGTGCTACGAATGAAGAACCCTTGTCCGAAGCAAGCATTTAGTATTTGAAGTTAAAAATACTACATAATGTTCCATTTGTGCACAGTACAATGTTAGTCTTTAACATTATATCTGATAGTTAAAACTACCATCATCAGAATGAGTATATTACAGACCACTGCAAAAGCAAGTGCCTTAGTCGGGCAATGCAGTTCCTCGCTCGAGGTTATTTTTAATCTCCAATGTGTATTTACCAAAGGCACGTTCAATCTTCTTATTGAAATGCTCATTACGGTCATTGATCGAGTCAACATCTTTCTCTTCACGAAATGTTCTTCTCCTGCTAAATGCCCTGCGTTTCTCATCCCTATCCTTTAGCTCTTGAACCATCCTATCAATCTTGTCCTCTGAGATTTTTGGCGCCTATGACGAAGGAAAGATGACTCATAAAATATCATTGATATGCATAAGTAAAAAAAAAATTAAAAAATTAAAAAATATATATAATATAAAATAAAATAAGAAAAAAGAAGATAAATTATGTTTTAACAGTATACCTTTCCATACTGAAGACTCGATGCATCCCGATAGAATTCTGGATCAGCTTCTTTCATTCTATTGTATTCTTCTACATCGACTTCAATGTTCTTGGTCCTCTTTTTGTATGCATTGTATAATGTCTTTTGATTAAAAACTGGTAAAAGTAAAACAAATAGTTACATTAGCTTCCTTTCCGTCAGAAATTCTAAATGAATACCATTCTCTCATTCACCTTTCCTGTGATCAAGACAAATATTATGAGGTGTTATCATGTCTATAAACACTTCTTTTTCAATATTTTAGCAACATAAAATTAGAGGGATTCTCCAAAATACTAAATATTGATGAAAACAAATCTAGGAATCTCATCTAAGGAAAAGATATTTTAACCTTCATTTAATAAAGTATAATATGACATTGTGATGCTGTTTAATCCTTGTAGTCAATCTTACAAACTCTATAGGGGTCTGAAAATACTGATATTTTTGGGAACCACATTGAAGCCGACACAGCGAATAAAGTTATATCTATCTGTAATACTTGTATACAAACAAGAACATATATAACCAAACCAGCTAGAAAAGTAACATACTGATTGATTGTGCAAGAACATTTCTTTGTCGAATATAGATGAACATACCATCCCAACCAGATGGAGCAGGATCCTTCTCCCATTTCTTGTATTTCTCTTCTGCAGCCTCCTGTGTGTCAAGCATATATGCCTTTGTCATGTCCAATCCATTAGCATCAAGAAGCTTTCCAATCTTTTTCTTTCTACCATCAAGCCACTTCTGCTTAGAAACACCTCTAGACTCTGTTGGAGCCTCCATCCTCTTTTTTTCATTAGCTATTTCAATTTGATTACGTTTCTTTGCTTCTTGCTGTCAGGGAATCAAAGTAAAAATCTTAAGTTTGTTCCACAAAATAAATAAAAGTTATAAACATGCTATTTTTCATTAAATAATACCATTTTGGCTCTCAACTCCATCCACTTTTTCTGTCTGGCAGAGAGTTTGGGGAAGGAGCCATCAGTGTTTTCTATAGCAGGCTGATCAGGTTCACTATCAGATTTTTCTTTCGGTCCATCATCGTCATCATGCATTTCGTAATCATGCTCACGGCCACTTCCACTACTAGCTTGAGCAACTTCTAATATACCCAGAAAACACCGTGTAAATAACTTTCCACAGACAAACTCATAATCATATATAACCAAAAACAATACTAAAATCCGTCGTCTAAAAACTATAAATACAACCAAAAACAAAATAAATTATCACAAAAGACTAAAATCCGTCGTCTAAAAACTATAAATACAACCAAAAACAAAATAAATTATCACAAAAGAAAAACTCATTCTGGTTTAGCTTTTGGAAGGGTCAAAAGCAACTCAGAGGTGTATAATTGATTTTGAAATAATTTTGAGATGTTTGGTTCTTCTACAGTATAATAATTGATTTTGCCTCGACAATTGATTCTACTTGAAGCTAGAGTTTGTAGCTTTAGAGTTTAAAACTGATTTTACATTGAAATTTATTCTTCAACTCAATTTTGCATAAAGTTGTCCAAACATTAATCATTTTAATGTCAACTCATTTTTAACCGACAATCAATTTTACATGACTCAAAATCAATTTTTTTCAGACAAAATCAGTTATAATTCTAAACACAATGAAACCAATAGATAAAATTATCTTGTGTAATTGAAAAGCTAACCAGATTCATGTTGCTGCATCCTGAATTTAGCTTCAGCGATGACTCTAAAGCAGTAATCAGTACATTCATGAAAGGGATTACTTGCATTCCGGCAATCGAGATGCACATCTCGTTCATCAGTCATGTTTGGTTGCTGCAAAATAACAAAGCGCGCGTTGCAGGAGACTTGAATAGTGTATAGGGTTGAAAGAGGAGAGCGTGATTTGAATAGTTTTTAGGATGGAATAATTTTGTGCGTTGAGAGAAGATGGTGATTTGAATAGTTTTTAGGGTTGAATAGTGTTTAATGTTTGATGAGACTAAATTAAATAGGTAAACTAAGATATTTTTTGTGGGTCCAATGTATTTTATAAGATTTAAAAAATTTATATTTGGGCCCAATGTGTTTTATAAGATATTTTTTGTGGGTCCAATGTCTATAAGAAACTAGAACTTGATCCCATATTTTATATGAATAAATTCTATAATTGTGAAAACAACATAAAAGACTCGATTTGATGGTAGATATATTGAACCAAATGTCTCATCTTCCCCATCTACAAATCAAATGTTATATTGATCTTTATTTTTTTTTATATAAAACCACCCCCAAACCTTGAAGTTGAAATTTTTATGTTTATTTGCGTATTTTGAAATTTTTATGTTTATTTGCGTATTTGTTTTTGGTTCAAATGAGGGGGATTTGGTTCAAATGAGGGGATGAGAGAGATTTTAATGAAGGGGAGGGCAGGGGAGGGGAGAGATTTTTTTAATCAAATAAGTGTTTGGTTCAAAATAAAGGATCTTATATAAATCATATGATATTAAAATGTGAAAAATTCATGCATATTTTTGTTGGTAATAAAATTTCTAATATTGAGTGATTAAAAAAGTATTTATTTGTCACATAAAGTTAAAAAAAATTGAGTACAATTGATTCGACTTATAACTTTTCAACATAAATTAAACCAAATACCAATAACATCGTTTAAATTGTGATGAATCATATAACAAAACAAATATATAAAATAACTTATTATTAAATATTATATATCAAAAAAATATATAAAATAACTTATTATTAAATATTAATGGTTCAAAATATTTAATAAAATGAATAAACAAATATAAGTAAAATGAATGGTTTACAATTTGATATAAAAGAAAATATGATATAATACATAACAAAATCAAAAGAAAAAAACGAATATAACTAAACATAATTTTTTTATATAAAAAAAAAAGATAATGATTATGATTTATATTAAATATAAAAATTATAAAATAATTTGAAGGTGGAGAACAATTATAATAAGTTGATGGAAACAACCCAGAAAAAGCAGTAAAATGAAAGAAAACGAATAATTTTGAAATACTGAAATTAAACTGAGGATATTTTAGTAAATATAATAATTTTTAAATATAAAAACTCATATTCTCTCCCCTCCAAATCCCCCAATTCGGAGGGAACAAAAGTGTGTTTTTGAGGGATTTTGCTCCCCTCCCCTCCTAAAATTTGAACCAAACATATTTAATTAAAAATTTCTCCTCCCCTCCGTCTACCCCGAACCAAACACACCCTTAAAGATTCCTTAAGTTATAAGTTAAGGTATTTTCAAGTATATGCATGTCGTTTAAAGTTTTAGGATTTTAAACCAAAGTTTTAAAAATTCATGTTAGTATTAGTTTGTTTGGTCATGGTTGATTTATTTTGTGTTTGAATTGGTGTGTACATAATTGATTTTGATAAAATTGAGTTTAGTAGAATTGATTTTAATAGATTTAAGTTTAGTAAAATGTGTTTATGTTTGGATACATTCAGTGATTTAAAATCAAAAGTTACTTTAAAAAAATCAAACACGATAAATTTGTGTTATTTAGAAAAAACATATAAACATGGTTACAAATGTTAAATATAATTAATAGTGTAAACAGATTTGATTTGATATGATTAGATTTAATTTTAATATTTTGGGCTTTTGTAAACCTAAAATTATAAATAGGATGTGTTGCTTTGTATTCATAATATACATTGAACAGATTTCACAGTTGCAGTTTAAGCAAGTGAAAGTTATATAAGCAATCGGAAATCCCACAGTAGTGGGTAACAATTTTCTTCAAATATTTCTTCTCTTTCTTGTTTGTTATTCTTCTTTTCTTTTACTGTTCTTGATAATTACTTGTTATTACCATTACTATCATATTGTGGGTTTGTTCATCAATCTTGAGATCAAGATTGAAGGGAATTCTTCATAGGGTGTGAGGTGAATTTCCAACATCTGGTATCTAGAGCTCCGGTTGAGAGATTTAAGGAAGGAAGATAGTGATGGCGGTGAACTATCCAAACGACAACTTTCCGGCGACCCTGCCAATTCTCAAGAAAGACAATGGTCGCTAATTCTCAAGAAAGACAATTATGAGAATTGGTGCAAGCAGATTAAGGTGATCTTCTGTTATCAAGATCTGTGGGATCTTGTGAAGGACGGAGTAACATCACTTGGGGAGAACGCAACGGAGGCGGAAAAGGCTGCGCACAAAGAATGGAAGAAGAAGGATTATAAAGCACTCTTTATAATTAATCAGTGTGTTGATCCTGATAACTTTGAAAAGGTTAGTAATGTTGATTCAGCAAAAAAAGCATGGGAGATTCTTGAAAAGTCATTTGGAGGCGCAGAGAAGGTGAAAGAGGTGAGGTTGCAAACTCACAAGAGAACCTATGAGTTGCTTCAGATGGAAGACAACGAAAGCATTACAGATTTCTTCACCACCAGAGTTACAAAGTTGGTGAACCAAATCAAAGTATGTGGAGAAGCGCTGACGACGAAAGCAGTTGTCTCAAAGATTTTGAGATCATTGGCTCCAAAATTCGACCACGTGGTAGTTGTCATAGAAGAGTCGAAAGATCTGTCAGTGTTGACGAAGGAAGAGCTTCAAGGGACTCTTGAGTCTCATGAACAGAGGATGGCTGAGAGAGCTGTAGGAAAGTCGAAAGATATGGCTTTGCAGGCGCAGTCAGAAAAGGAAAGAAAAGGCAAAGGTAGATGGAATGGCAACAAAGGAGGAAACCAGTCGAATCATAAGAAACCTTGGAACCAATGCAACCAAAGAGGTGGTGCTGTAGGTAAAGGAAGAGGTGGTGGTCGAAAGACATACAAAAGCCACATTCAATGTTTCAATTGCCAGAAGTATGGTCATTATGTTAGTGATTGTCCAGAAAGGAAGAGAAATCAAGAGACTGATACAAAGCTGGCGAAACATGAAGAAGAAGAAACGTTGCTAATGGTCACAACAAAAGATGAAGAAAGATTCCAAGATCAGTGGTACTTGGACTCAGGATGCTCATCACACATGACTGGAAGGAAAGATTGGTTTGTCAACATGAAGCCCTCGTCAAAGAACACAGTGAAGTTTACAAATGACAAAACTCTAGCAGCTGAAGGTGTTGGTGATGTTCTGATTATGAGGAAAGATGGCAAAAGGTCAACAATTTCCAATGTGTTGTACATACCAGGCATGAAAAGTAATTTGCTTAGTATAGGGCAACTTGTTGAAAAGAACTACAAGGTAGTTGTCGAAGACAAGATGATGAGAGTTCTCGACGCAGGTGGTAGATTAATCTTGAAGGCTCCAATGTCTCAGAATAGGACCTTCAAGATTGGACTCAATGTGATGGAGCACAAGTGTCTAGCAACTGCAGCCATCAGAGATGAGTGGTTATGGCATTTTCGACTAGGTCATCTCAACTTTAATGACATCAGAGAACTGAAGAGAAGAAATATGGTTTCAGGATTAGCAGAAATCGACATTCCAAGTGAAGTCTGTGAGAAGTGTGTTCAGTCGAAACAACACAAGAATAGCTTCCGCAAGGATGCAGGAAGGAAGTCGAAGGCAATACTTGAAGTTATATACTCTGATGTATGTGGTCCAATCCAGGTGGATTCGATTGGTGGCAATAAATACTTTGTCACGTTTATAGATGATTACAGTCGAAAGTTGTGGACTTACCTCATCAAGAAGAAAAGTGATGTGATTGAGGTATTTTCTAGATTCAAGTCCATGGTCGAAAGACAGAGTGGTCGAAAGCTGAAAATTCTGAAGTCGAAACATCTCGTTCATCAGACATGTTTGGTTGCTGCAAAATAACAAACATGGCGCATATTACAAAAAGAGATTGGAATTGAAAGAAAACCTCTTTGTTTTATGTGTTGCATTGAGAGAGAAGAGAATAACGTGATTTAGGATTGAAAGAGGAGAAAGATATGAACCAGAATATTTAATGGGAATAAACTAAATGGGTAAATTAAGATATTTTTTATAGGCGCAAAGTATTTTGTAGAATTTAAAAAATTTATATTTGATTTGAATAGTTTTTACTTTAATGATGGTTGTCTATAAGAAACTAAAACTTGACCTCACATTTTATATTTTTTATTCAAGTTACCATTAATTTAATTATTTTAATTAAAATGCATACAATTTTTTTAATAAAATTTATCTTAAAAACTTAGAAATAATATTAAATATATTTTATTATAAAATTAAAAATGATACAAAATTCACAACAATAATACATAAAAAAAATTACATTTTCATAGAGTACCATATGACCCTCATGATTTAACTTTAATCCTCATGTTTTCTCTTCAATACACACAAAGTAGAGTATGATTTAACTATAAGTCTCATGATTTCTCTCCCATACACACAACTCATGAAGAGTACCATGTGACCCTTGTTATTTAACTTTGACCCTCATGTTTTCTCTTCAATACACACAATATAGAGTATCATAGAAACCTCATGATTTAACTCTAAATCTCATGATTTTTCTTCAATAAATTCTATAATTGTGAAAACAACATAAAAGACTCAATTTTGTGGTAGATATATTGAACCAAATGTCTCATCTTCCACAGCTATAAATCAAATGTCATATTGAAGTTTATTTTTGTTTATATAAAACCACCCCCAAACCTTAAGTTGAAATTTTTATGTTTATTTGCGTATTTTTTCACTTTTAAAGTTCACTTTCATTTAAAGATTTTTTAAGTTATAAGTTAAGGTATTTTCAAGTATATGCATCTCGTTTAAAGTTTTATGTTTTTAAACCAAAGTTTTATGTTTTTAAACCAAAGTTTTAAAAAT